TAAGACATCGAGTCTGACAGTGAAACCGATCGCAGTAAATCCGATGACGTCTCCGAGGGCAATGAAAGCGACAAAGGAAATGAAGATACAAATGTTGAGTGGGAGAATCATTTGAATTCCTTGTCAACCATAGCCAGCAGGAAATTGTACCAGATAGATAGAAGTGTTTATTTTATATGAAAAAATATTTGTATAATCATCTTATCAGGATTATAGTAAAGCAAACAAATTTATATGCAGATCAATTTTTGCAAAGTCACTCGAATTTGAAACCGCGATCAAGGACGAGAAAATGGTATCCAACAACTAATAATGAAATTAGATGTTTTATCGCGATGTTGATTTTGCAAGGTATTGTAAAAAAGCCAGTACCCCATGTATATTATTCGAAATCCCAGGGCACAACATTCACGAATGTCGACGCTACGCTAGGAATAATACCCAGTATCAGGGAAAGGCCAACACCTTCCCGCCGAGCTCGGACCGTATGCGCGAAGAAACTCTCATGCCGACTCCAGACAATCGAAGCAACCAAGTACGAACCGAAAGAAGAATAATCGGCGTTACCATCGCCGTATTCACGACGAATTCTCTGACCCCCAAACGTCCGCCGATACCATAATCGTAGCCGAATCCACCGTATTCCACTGTGAAAGCGCCGCGCATCGTACCTCCAACCGCGCTAGAAGAAACCACTTTTTCTCACGAATGGTTTTGAATGTATATATTTTGTACCAAATGAATACAGAAGAAAATGTTATGATTCGACTGGAATTCATAAGTGATATCATTCAATCGATAACAGAATGAAGGCGGAAAAGAGGACGAATCCGAAAAGACCATTGGGAAACGGAAAAAGTTTGCGTTGTTTGTAGCAGGAAGGATGGTGTGCCAGTGCGAAGATCACGCACAATTTGTAATAATTGCAATAAAGTGTTACACGGTGTATGCATCAGTAAGCATCAATGGTAAATAAATTGTTTGTGTTAGTAAAAATAAGTAAAGATTAAGCATTTTATTCGAATTAATGGTACCCCGGTGGATCACCGGGGCCCGAACGCCGAAAGTCTGCAATTTCGCAGATATACACAAATCATAATATCATTATCATGATATATATGATATATGATCATGCAACGAACGCGTATGACCCGGACTTCATCGCCGGCGAGTAAGGTTATAAACGAATAATAGCATTGCAACTTGGGGGCCTGATTGACCCCCTAGACGCTGCACAGTAATTAAACAAAAAAAAAAGAGGAAAAGAAATACAATAGATTTTCGCAAATAATAATTAGCACACCTGGAGCATCCTCTGTGAGTTAGGGGTTCTCAACATACCCCCCAACAAGTGGGGCAGCAGAGGACGCTCCGGGTGTGGCCGAGGGCAGGGACGTAGGGCCCGTACATGCATGACGACGGGCTCTCGCACCCTGAAATGATGGGGGCGGTGGGTGGTGCCATGGGGGGCGGCTAGGGTAAAGGGGTCAACGCGGGTGCAGGCCGCCGTTTGTCCTCCGGCGACGGGGTTGGCGGGGTCCATGATGGCGTTTAAATTGAGACTTTCTCCGCATCCTCGGCAGAGCACCGCGACGACGTCCTGATCCTCGGGGTGGGGCTCCACTATGGCAATGGATTATGAATAGCGTAGCACGTAATACTTCCCAGTCTCCAAATTTTTTCATTGTTCCACAATCACCAAACCCTCGAATTTCAATGGAGGAAGCAACAATTGAATTCAATTCTGTTGCAGTTTTCTTTATTAAAATATATTTATTAAAATTAACAAAAGTTATACAATGTATGATTATATTTCTGTATGCAGTGAATGTGTTCTATTCGGTGATCCCTGTTGCATTTGGGTTGTGTTGATTTTTTTGTGACCATATGTGTGTCCAGAACTGAGTGATTTGTTCTTCGGATGGCGATTGTGCTTCGGTATTTTATTCTTGGCCTAGTTTTCGGTAGAAAAGTTTTTCGTTTGTTTTAAAGGGTTTATTTTCTTCTTTCGTTCGATTCGACTCGTTGTATCTTTTTAACCTTGCTGTATATACGAGTAGTTTTTGTTTCCATGTGTCTAGGGTTTGTTGCAGTGTTGTGTTGTTGTCTTCACTTATTATTGTGTTTGTATATCTGACTATTTTTCCTGAGGTGTTTCCTTTTATGGCCTGTGTGAGTCGTCGTATGTTTTTCCACAGCATCTCTTTCTTTCTTTCTAATCGTATTTTCCACTTCGGTTTTGGGTGTTTGTATGTGTTGCTGTTTTTTGGTTTGATTGTTTTTTTGTTTGTTACATTGTAGTGTTGTTGTTGCTGCTGCATATATTGCTGTTTGTGTCTTCCAATGTCATGTCGTTAGCAATATATTTTGCTGGAAGAAGTTCGTTTATTGTGTTTAGTATTTTCTGTGTTTGTTTTCTGTATGTTAGTTTTGATAATGCATGTCTTTTTGTTGGGTCGGTTCCTGTTTATATGTTGATGTTTTCTTCAAGTGTGGTCTGGATTTCTTCGTTGGTAGGTTCTTGTGTGTCAGTTTGGTTTTCTGCGTTGTTTGGAGGCTTGTTTCATTTTGTTGTAGCGTTGTTGTTGCCATTCCTGTTTCTATTTCTATTTGTGGTGTATTTTGAGGTATGTTTTCTCCTGTATGTTGATTTTGTTGTGTTTGGTGTGTGGTACTCGGTGCGTGTTGTGTTGCTTCTTGATCCTTCTCTAACTCTTTTGTTACGTATTGTGTTGCTTCTTGGTTCCTATCTAATTCTGTTGCTACCAGTTGTTTTATGTTCTGTAGTTCTAGAGGTCTGTTGTTCTGTACGATGGTTCGTTTTTGGTCCGTAAGTCTTTGTTCCGTGATGCTTGTTTGTAAGTGCGAGTACTGTGTTGTAAAGGTTTTAGTAATTGTTATCTATATCCTGAGACTGTTGTTTCTAGTTTAGTTGCAATGTAGTAACAACAGATGACTGTCCTGTTCATCGCATCGGTCCATTTCATGCGTTGCCTTGGTTTTCCGGCCTTGGTCGTTGCAGGTTTTCCCTCCAAAGCATCCACGGTCCGGTTTGCGTATGTTTGTGTTTGTGTGCTTCCTATTATGATTTCGGCTGTATTAATTTCGGGTTGCCTGTTCAGACAATTGCCACCGATGGTTTGCTCGCTGTCACGCCTAACATCGGCTCCGAGAGTGCCTTGGCGAACCCCAGACAGCGTTCTTTTTCCGAGGTCTTTTTTATTATCATTACTATTATTATTATTATTATTAGATATTATGATTATTAGACTATAATTATACCAGATGCTATAGTAATTACCTGAGGTACGTTCAGCAAAACATTGGCTAATTGCATCGGCCCTAATACACTTTGAATCGACCTGGAAGGAAGACCTGAAGGCAACATCAGCCGAGATGGTGTACGGCGAGACGCTGCGGTTCCCGGGAGAATTCCTGTCGCCACGATTAGCAGGCACCCAGCAGCAAGAAGCCGCTTTCGCCAAAGAACTGCGGCAGCATTTCCGAAGAGTCGCACCGGTTCCAGGAACAAGCCACGGCCAGCAACGAGTCTTCGCGTTCAAGGACTTGGCCGTAGTCAAAGAGGTCTTCGTCAGGAACGATACTGTCCGGGCTATCCTGCAGCCTCCATACAATGGACCATTCAGGGTCATCGCCCGCAGTAGGAAAACTTTCGTGCTAGACATCAGGGGCAGAAAGGTCGCCGTGACTATCCATAGACTGAAACCGGCCTAAACACTCGGTGCCCCTAATTAGGGTTTTTAACAAACGGGCAAGTGGCCTCACCACGGTGGGGGTCCCATGATGGGCGAACCGTTCTATAAACACTACATAATATGGATTTCAAAAGAACAAACAAACCAATGGAGGCTCCTCTGGAGCGCGAGAGGGTTGTCTCAGTTGAGACATCGGAGACGGCAGCCACTGCGCCTGCTGGTCCTGCGACCTTTGCAGCCGCGGACTGTGGGGGAGGCAGGAAGGCTGCACCGGCGGACCGGCAAGTAGTTCGGCCGATAGGCAGGCCATGATTAGTGTCCGACGGCTCCCTGACGTCGTCGGCCTCTGCGATGAAGCGCGCCCGCGTGGCTAAAAGAAGGCTAAACTACGCCGAGAGGAGGAGGACGAGGAAACGAGGTCTGCGACGTCATCGCGGACCAAACGTTCTCTCCCCTCGGTGGAGGATCTTGTGGTCGAGTTCCACCACATGACCACAGCGGATATAGCGGCTCAAATCTTAGAGGATATGAAGACCGTGGAAAAAGTGGCGGACACCTCTAGAAACTTGAAGGGGACCTTCGTCAAGTCCCTGCGAATGGTCTCCAGGAGAACGGAGGTGGACTTTATAGAACTACAGAAAAGAACGGAGAGCCAGGATGCCGAAGCCCTGAAAGCCACGAATGCGGAGCTGCGGCGCCAGAGCTTGGAGATTGCGGCGCTCCAAGCCGAGGTTGCCACTCTGAGGGAGCGTCAGTCCCTTGGGGATAACAAACGGCGGGGGGCGCCAGCAAATCACCCCAAGGACAAGGATAAGGAGGTCATATACAATGAGGAGGCCCTCCTTGAGAAGATAAGCCTCCTCATTGACGACAAACTGGCGGCCAGCAGACGGCCTTAGGAAAAGCTGCCTACCAAAGCGGCATCGATTCAGTCGGCTATGTAGGCAAGCAACCGCTCCAAGGCGGCGGCAAAGCCTAAGGAAGTGAAGGGAAGTGCAGCCACTCTCCCGGCTGCGACGCCGACGCTGGCCGTGGACGGGACGGAACTTGCCTGGACCGAAGTTCTAGGCCGGAGGTCGCGCATTAAAGATAAGGTTAAAGATAGAAGCGCGAACCGCCGCCAAAGTGGGGTTGCCCAAACCCCAGCTGGCAGACGCACTTCAGAAGCGCCTGCGAAAGCAGCGGCCGGGAAAGGTGCCGACCCCTGTCCTCACACGACCACCCTCAAAGGCTGCAGTGACAGTGACACTTCCACCGGTCGCGACTACATCGTACGCCGAGGTCATGGCCACGGCCAGGGCGAAGATCAGCCTGTCTGAAATGGGAATTGAGGAACTCCGACCGAGGCGCGCCGTGAATGGCGGCCTGCTACTCGAGGTTGGCGGCCCGGAAGGCCAGAAGGCCAGGGTTCTGGCGACAAGGATGGGCGAAATCCTGGAAGGAACAGGAACCAAAGTTACCCAGTCCACTAAGGACTGTGGAGTTACGAGTGAAGAGGCTCGAGGAATCACGCCCTGCGAGGTAGGCACGACTTTGGCCAAGGCTGGAGGCTGCCTCGCTACGGAGGTCAAGGCTGAGGACATCCGGCCATCCCCTTCCTACCTGGACTCGCTGTGGGTGAGGTGCCCCCACTCACAGCGGCCCGCAATGTCATGGAGACCGGGCGTATCTTGGTGGGCTGAGGTCTCCGCGAAAGTCGAAGTGCTCGCACCAAGGAAGCTCCAATGCTACATGTGCTTGGAGTTCGGGCATGCTCGGCAATGCTGCCCGAACAATGTGGACCGGAGTGCCCTGTGCTTTAGATGCAGAGCCGGGGATCACAGCGAAAAACTGTGCAAGACGCTGGCTCACAAGTGCCCGGTCTGCGCGAACCTTGGACGACCGGCGGAGCACAGGTTGGGAGGCGGGCAAGCGAGGTCACCCGCCGCGAAACCCTCCACTGGACAGGGCCCAACTGCTGAAGGCCCGGAGGAGTGGAGTCTGTGACGCTCCCCGCCTGTCGACGGATTTAATTGCGGAACAAAGTGTTATCGGGCACGTGTGGCAGTGCCGAGTGGTTCCTCTAGTGTGTGGGTGTTAGTGGCCGGGGCACTCGCATGCTGGATTACGGCACGGTGACCATAGTGAACAAATTTGTGAAACTTGTGAAACTTGTGGAAGCAGACATTGCACGCCGTTACGGCGCCGGACGACGAGGGAGAGCGCCCATTGGCTGCCAGGTCTAGCGAAGCCGGCACGGGATTGGCCGCCGGCTCGCGAGAAGATGTCGGCGCATTGGAGGGCTCTGTAGCGCATGCGTTCAGCAACAGGATTGGCTGCCCAGGCGTTGCGAGCGACCAGTGGATTGGCCGCCCGAGCTGCGCAGTCGGGCGGCGCGCCGGACGGCAGCACGATGAGTGACGTCACCACGGGAACACTGGGAGCAGCGGCTCGCAACTGGCCTTTACGACATTCAGCCTCTGCCTCGAAAAACATTGCGATGGCCCCACGGGTGTTGACGCAATGTGATTTCTGCCCAGTGCTCTAAATGTCAACGTGAAGAAATTCAAAGAAGCGCGGGTAAACGGCGGAAGTAACTATGACTCTCTCAAGCAACTTATGGAGTTACACGGATGGGCAAAAGGCAACAAACAATTTGAAAGCTTGATAGAAAAACTTATAGAGGAGAAGACATCTATACCTGTAGACACCCTTAAAAAGTACACACGTCAAGTTTACTCAGGTTCACTAACCCACAGACTACCATGCCCAGCTTTGAGAACAAGTGGTGGTATGGCCAATCAGAATCTCAATCATTCTAGTTTTTATGTAATTACTTCTGATACAGCACTGGACTACTCAAAAGGAGGGGCAAACTATACAATTTGTTTCCAAAGTGCATTCCTTCATACTCTTTCTGTCCTCGCAATGATGACTGAGATGGGAGTACCAACCACAAGAAACATGGCAGTTGCTTCTCGTGCACAACCTGCACATGGATTATTCCACCAGAGTCTTTTACGTTACCCTGCGTTCAGTATAGTGTGATTAATTTGACTACACGAATACCTCAAAGGGACTTGAAAACAAGATATCCTTTGCAACAGCAGGTTGATTCCACTGCCTCTTATTCTGTTTACATGGACAGAAAGTTTGCAGCCTGGATTGTAAACAGCTCAATGGCAGATCGTATTACTGCACTAGAAAACAGGGCTGTAGAGGATCCGCTCACGGAGTTTTCTCGTCTTTTGGTTCCCGTTTTCATAGACTCTTTTATCTTCTATAGTGCCATATTTAACCCACACTTCTTTTCACAAACACACGTCCATTTTATAGATATATTAGAAGGCTCTAACAAGAACCCATATGACGTGATGATTGATTGTCTACGATGATGTAATCACTTGAAAACCTTATGCACAATGAGAGGTGCAATAAGGAAACCGACGTACTCAACATACGACCTAAGAAGACTTGTATATGGCGTTATGAGCGGGCGGTTGTGACGACCTTGAGGAAATTTTGACTACTTCCTACATAGTGACTCCTGATGATATAACTATTGTAATCAAGGCAATGCAAATATGGTTGCAAGTTAAAAAGCTTCCAAACTACTTACACACGAGGATGGATCAAAAGATGCTCGACGAGGCCATAAAAAAACACTATGCGACCTACAGTCAGATACGACCTGCTTGTGCTCTATCAGAAGAGGAGACAATAACATCCATACGGGCTATGGATGTAAAGAACAACAGGGAGGCACCCTCCGAACAGAGGCTCAGAGTGCCTATTGCCAATTTAATCACCCCAACTCTCTCCCCTCCATTAAAAGGAGCTCTGTACTGTATCCAAGATGATCCCATTGCTTCCTCTCCAGCCCTTGCAGGGACTGCGGTTGACCTTGGTCGGCCGCGGTACGGGCTTAACGGCCCCGAGGTACCCGAGTCACGCGCATACCGTAAGCCTGTGGTCATGTTTTGCAGGAACGGGGGTCTAGCCTTAATCGGCTGGGCCGTGAGGATAACCTCTATAAAACAATCCCTTAATCCCCAGGGCTATGGTGCGCGACCCTGGGGTACCACCCCGTCACCGGATGCACGGGGAGGTGGTTGGTGGGTGCACCAGCCGGTTAGCGACCCCCTCAGGGCACCTGGCGTCCCTCTGAGCGTAGTAGCCTTCTCCCCGGGAAGGGCGTCACCCGGGGAGTGACCTCATTACGACCCTACTCGTGGGATTATTATGGACATTCATAAATACGTAAAACTTGGGGACTTGGGGGGCGGGGGATAGTAATGTCAGTAGTGCGGGAGCGTCAAATGCGGCTGGTGCCGCACGAGAAGGTGCAGCGCGGAGTGTATCCGCTCCGAGTGGTCGCGGTGGTGGGGCCGCACGTAGCGTGAGCCCCGCTAGAAGGATAAAGCGTGTCTGTGCCGGATGCGAGTATGGATGTTGAAAGTGAGAGTGCGCGTGAAGATTTGAGTGCTATGAGGGTGATTGGGGATAAGATTCGCCGGTTTGTATTCACCGATGGAAACCGGGTGTCGAAGTCTGCTGGGGAGTTTATTTTAAACTGTGTGTCTGAATATGAATGTCAATTGATGGGTATGCTAGCGAAGAATGGGAGGTTGAGTGGGAGGTTAGAAGAATGCGAGAAGCGCATGCGACAAGGGGTGGATGTGACTGAAAGAAGAAGTCTTGCAAGTGTGGCTGGGAGAAGTGTGCCTGTGTCGAAGGGTGTGAATGCTAAGGGTGGGAATGTGGAGAGTGGAAGGACGTTTGCGATTGTAGTGAAAAGTAAGGATGAGAGTGTGAAAATGAGTAGTGATGAAGTTAAGAAGAAGGTGATGCGTGATGTTAGTTGTGAGTTAAAGGATGTGAGAGTGAAAGCAGTCCGGAAAACGGGGAGGCGGTCTCGCCATTGAGACCGCGAGTGAAAAAGATTTAAAAGTACTGAGCGAGTGTAAACAGAAGTTTGGCGAGGTCGGTACCTCCCAGGAAGATAGGCCCAAAGGTGGTGGTATTTGATGTGGAAAACGAGCTGACGAACGAGGAATTTCTGCAGGAACTGTACGACAAGAACCTTAAATGTGCTCGTGTGAGTGACAGCGTGTTTAAAGAGCGAGTGCGGGTGGCGAACAGGATGAACAGAAAAGGAATGAATGTGGGAAGTGTGGTTGTGGAATTGACGAAGAGCATGAATGATATTTTGATGACGGATGGAAGAGTGTATGTGAAATGGAGATGTTGCAAAGTGAAGGAGTATGTATCAGTCCTTCGCTGCTATCAGTGTTTTGCCTTCGGGCATATGATGAGGGAGTGCCCTGTCAAGGAGAGATTGTGTGGAAAGTGTTGTGACAAGGGGCATTTGCGCGAGAAATGCAACAGCCAGACGGTTTGTAGAAACTGTAAGTTGAAGGGCAACAAAGCCGACCACTCGGTTCTGTCCGGTGCGTGCCCGAAATTCGTACGATTGTGTGAGAGAGCGAAGGCGCGTATTAGCAATGACTAGTACGCGCCTTGGTGTGAATGTGTTGAATGTGTTACAGCGTAATTGTCAACGTGCATATGCGGTTAATTGTGATTTGGGCCGAGTGATGAACGCGGAGCGTGTGGCTGTTGCCTTATTGCAAGAGGTGTATGTGTCGCATGAGAGAGTGTGTGGGTTACCGAGTGGCTGAAGAGTGTATGTAAAGAGAGAGTGCGTTGGTGGACGTATGAATTGAGTAACTTGAAAAAGAAGGTGCGAAATAGTAGACGTATGTATCAGAGAGCGAGAAAGAGAAGATGCGAGAATGTGGGTGCGAGACGGGTTGAGTATAGAAGGCTGTTGAATGTGTATAAATGTGCTGTGTGCAAGACCAAGGAGGATAGCTGGCGTAGATTCGTCAGCGAAAGGAGTAGACGTATGTATCAGAGAGCGAGAAAAAGAAGATGCGAGAATGTGGGTGCGAGACGGGTTGAGTATAGAAGGCTGTTGAATGTGTATAAA